ATCAATCACTTTCTTCATGGCTTTTCCGACCACCGCTTTAGGCTCGGTTTCAGGAGATCTGTGTCAAGAATACAGAGTAAATGACTAAATATGTTAGAGTTTGTCAACTTAATTAAGGTTTTGAATTCAATAATATAGAATATAATCGCTTCTCCTCTTCGAGTTTTCCCTTTCGGACTTCTCCACGAGGTTTTTAAAACGCGTATGTCTGGGAAACGTTTCCACTTTTTTTCGTTCTCCACCCCAATTGAGATCTCACAATCCACCCCTTCAGGGCCTAACGTCTTTGTTCTCCACCCGAACTGGTATCTCACGATCCATCCCCTTCAGGGCCCAACGTCCTCACTGGCACTCGTTTCTTTCTCCAATCGATGTGGAACCCACCAAATCCATCCTCTTTGTGGTCCAGCGTTCTTGTTGGCACATTGCATTGTGTCCACCCCCTTCAGGGCTTAGCATCCTTATTGACACACTGTTTTGTGTCCACCCTTTGGGCCCAGCGTCTTTGCTGGCACACCACTTTGTGTCCACCCGTTTCGGGGTCCAACGTCCTTGTTGGCACACCATTTCATGTCCACCCCTTGGGGTCCAGTGTCTTTGCTGGCACACCACTTTGTGTCCACCCCTTCAGAGCCCAACGTCCTAGCACATTGCCTCGTGTCCACCCCCTTCGAAGCTTAGCAGCACATCTCTCGATATCTAGCTCTAATACCATTCGTAACGGCCAAACACATCGCTAATAGATATTGTCCTTTCGAGACTTTGCCTCAAAGTTTTTAAAACTCCACAGACAGATTTCTAACTCTTATAAAAAAATCTATCTACATGCAAATTTTGTTTTTTTTTAATATAAACCACTATTGACGTGCAACCAATGGTCCTTAGCATATAGATGATGACTAACATATAGAAGTGTTTGAGTTTAGTGTATCCAACCTGGGTTGAGTAGTAGGTTTATCCTTAAGGTATTCATCTACAGCCTTCGGTTGTGAGCTGATCACTCCTCCAGCTGAACCTCCATACGATGGAGAAGGAGATGGTGAAGCAACCTTCTTCACAGAGTACATCGGAGAAGCAGCAACGGACTCTCTCTTGGGTGAAAGCGACGGTGAGCGAGCCCG